TATGGATGTTTCACATCAAAACCAATCATGTGATCTAAACACTGCACAGTTCCAAAGTATTCACAAATTACTTGTTCTTAATGTGCAAAAGTTTGTTTTCTTTGAATCAAGGCAACAAAATAGAAAAACAAAATATATACACCAAAATATATACACCATTTTAAAACTAGTAATATCGAAGCTGAAAAAACAATGTTAGCTCAAGGTGCTGGCAGATGTTGTGAATTAGAACCGCAGGAAAAGCTATTAAATAGATCTCAAAGTCCATCATTCACAAGTGAACATCAAAACTGAAGCCCTCTCTCACATCCTAACATTTCTCAGCCAGGCTTATTATTTAATGTCACAGAAGTTAATGGAAAAGATTCAGCGCTACACACTTTGATAGCTGCTGTCTGTAATGACTGTCATAGGCTCAGCAGAGTGCAGAGAGAGAAAAGGTCTTTGGAGCTCAGAGAGACCCTGGTCACTCTGAACATTGTTAATGAAATCTGGAGTGACTGGAGGGATCTTGGTGTATGATTCCGCTGGATATTTGTCCAAATCTTCCTCTCTCTCGACACTTCTCTGCTCTGAAAATAAAACATCAGGCTGTCCCACTAGACTTTGAAATGCCTGGTAGTCATCGTTCACTTGAGGAAAGTTGGGTGAGCCAGCAGGCATGCAGCCATAGCAGGGATTGTCATCACATATGGTGGCCTCTTCAAAGCTGTCACATCCAGCCTCAACTCTGGACACAGGATCACATGAGGCGGTTGTGTTGGTGCCACTAGAGATGGAGGACAAACTGGAGTCGTCTGCAAGTGATAATCGTCCAGAATCTGCATTGCACGGCTGATATGACATGTCTGATGGCATTGGAGATGAAACCACCGGTGGTAAATTAAGAAGCGGACACGCTGGTACCTGTTGGTCAGGACAGATCACCATGTCACCCTCACTAGGATGGTAAGCAGAGTCACAAAGCATTGCATCCTGTGTCTGGACTTCAGAGCTGTCCATCATAATCTGACGTGGGCAGTTGGGAACGAGAATGGAATAGGTTTTATTGTCAAAGCCTGATGATCCAGAATTCACGTCATCAGCTCTGACACTACAGGGATTGTTGGGAGCAGAGAATAAACCACTGTCTTTGTTTGATTCTGTGAGCAGGTTGGTGGTCAAAGGTGATATTGGACTGATATTGGGGAAGGCTTTACCAAGGGCATCATGAACCCCTGCTATAATATCAGCAGGTTCTGTGTTAGCATAACTGAGACAAGAGGATCCAGTGCTGATTCCACTGCTTTGCTGAAAGCTCCCACTGCTATTGTCTGTCAGTGACCCCTTCGACCTGAACACAGAGAAAAGGGCCACATAAAATGCCAATATAATCACACAGAAAGAAATGGAAAGGAAATGTGCTGTACTGTTGATGCACTAATGCAGCCATACTCACCATGGTTTGCCGTCATCAGGAACAAGGGTCTCAACACAGGCAGGGGAAATAATGGTTGGCTCAGGTTTCAACCACTGAAACAAGAAGGATTCACAGAAGGAAACACAATTAAAACTATAGATCAGAAACATTTCAGTTAAAGGGGTCAGTTTACAAATGTTTCTATCCAATTCATTCTTCGTGCACCATTTAAAAGTGTAGAAAAGGCATTTCTACATTGATTTTTTTCATGCTTTTGAAAGTATGTGGAAAGTTTTAAAGTTAGGTTGCAGTCCTTCATGGTTTGGTGACAACTGTGGTTCCCATGGTAACAACACATACAGTTTAATATTAGCAGCAGCTGGAGCAGCTGCATTATTGGTTTATCAGTTTACAGTGCAGCCAAACAAACTCAGATTGTTTGAACTGAATTGGCATGAATATTTTTCCCAGAATATAATGTCGGTAACGCCTGGTTACATGCTGCATTGTCTCCTGTGAATCTCTCATGTGTGAAGGCACTAACAATGAAAACGACTACAAAAGAAGCAGTTGCAGAATGTAGATGCAGTGGATGTCTATTTCTGAAAAAAATGGCAATGACAAATATTATGAGTTTGTGAAAATTGTAAGGATTATGACTTTGATGTTTACGTGTGATTAAGGAAAATAAAAAGATGCCAAAAATTGGAGATACATGTTTTTGATTTTTGACCAACATTAAGTTTACATCACTCGGTGTCTCACCTCTTGGTCATATGAATGCATAATAAGAAGTTTTGGATTTGGACCTTTGGAAATCAGGTCCCACCACCGTGTCTTCAACCTAAAATCAACAAAATGACACACGTTTCATAAACACAGCACACAGAAGTTACAGTATCTCAAGGAAATGCCTTTCATGAAAAGACAAATGAGGCAATTAGTCCTTACTTTACAGAGCAGACAAATATAGCACTGCTGATTAGGACTGCAGCAATACTGAGGATGATGATGAGTGCGATGAGCAGGACATTAGAGGAGGCAGCTGTGAAGTAACATGTATGAAATAAGTTTACAAATCACTCATTATTGTACAAACGACATAGCACAGAGAAAAAAAAA